CGGACGCTACCGTCAGGTCTACGACTTAGGAGGACGTCCAGGAAAGGGAGCGAACCTGTTGTTTCCATCTCCAACGTGAAATGTATGTATGGATGGGCTTGACTGACCGCGTTTTAGAGAACGTCTTCATCGGTTTTGGTTGTGGCGATCATGAAGATATCATCCACGTAGCGACCGTAGTGCTTTGACTTGTGGATCTGATCGCTTAGTTGAAATTTCTCCAGCTTGCCCTTGAATATGTCAGCCAGGAGATGTCCCAGAGGCCAGCCCATAGCAACGCCATCTGTTTGTCTGCATATTTGGCTGTCAAAGAGGAACTGCACATTTACTGTGCACTTCAGTAGAAGTTCCTCTTATACATTTTTCGGTATTCCTATTTCTAGTTGATTGCTCAATAGAAATTCGTAGATGTATTTGATTGTCTTGGTAACCGGAACGTTGGTAAACAGCAAGGAGACGTCCAGGGAGAGCATCCTCATGCCGTGTAAGTTTACATATTTGATGTCGTCGATAAATTCAAAAGTGTCTCGATAGCTCCGTGGTGCCAGTTGATGCTGCAAAGGTTTGAGTTTCGCCGCCAACCATTTCGCTATCGCATGATACGGTGAATTGCGCATGTCCAGAATCGGACGAACTGGCAGGCCATCCTTAGGGATCTTTGGTAAACCATACAAACGGGGGATGCGCGTGCCTACTGGTGTGTGGCTTTCGAAGTCCCGGTCGCTATTGAGACCTCCCATGTGGAGTCTTCGTAAGCAGCCAGTCAGCTGAGCCTCTACTTCCTCTGTGCGATCTTTTTCTTTGTCTACTTTCTTGAATTTAGTCTGGTCTGATAGGATCGTTTGCATCTCCTTTAAGTAGTCCGACCTTTTTATTAAAACGACACCGGTTCCTTTAACAGGTCTAGTGACCAGGATGTCTGTGTTCCGTCGCAGTTCTTTTAACCTTTCTAGGTGCGTTTTTGTAAATAATCCTCGGTTTGCAGGTCTCTTGTTCAGATACTGGTAACTGCAGTTCACTAGTGTTGATTTAAAGTGTTGGACACTTTTTGCGGAGCTGGGCTTTAAATCCTAAGTTTGGTTGTAAAGATTCTCAAACTGGGTTTATAGTTCTACCTAGAAATTTATATTCGCCAATTTATCTTATGAAATTTTCAATGGGAATTTTCGCTTATTTTGACTGTTTTACCTAAGACTTTAATATATTTGAATGCATAAGAGCACGTCTTTCTGCGAGCATGTGTGAAATGAACTCGGGTTTCATAATAGATATCCGTACCCGTGAAGAAATACTATGAAATAGAATAGCCAATCGGTTTAGCCTATATTAAAAAATACAGTAATCAAAAACTAGCCAATGGGTAAAAGAGCTCGAAGTTATAAATGGGGTATGCTAGCCAATGAGGAGCAAGACTTGCTTGGGCCTCCACACGTTTAGCGAAAATTCGAAACATCTGTCCACTCGTGCGGTGTCTTTACTCTTTCCCTGATGACTAGTGAGGCGGATTCAAATCCTTTCCGTCCTGATGGCGAGCTCTCAAAGGAGGCGGAATTACTGTTAAAGAACTCGACAATCCAAAGAGACAAGGTGCTTAGATTCTTTAACTTTTATCGACCAATTGCTGTAAAATTTCATAATGTTTTGTTTCCCTCTGTTGCGTTAACGATCGGCAGCGCTTCTCCACCATTTTAAATATATGTTTCCGATCGCAACCGCCACCATATAATACAAGTCGCGATGTGTCTGCCTGCGAAGGTTCTAAAGTAAACCACAAGGCAAACCCAGGACCATTTGGTCCCTGTGCTGCGTCAATGCCGCGCTGGACGGTATTGTGTACGATGATTGGGGTTGATTTCAACCGGTTGTAATCTCTGCCAATCAGGACACGATTGGGGGGGGACCTTATTGGGCTAGTGCACTAGACCCAGCAGGGATATTTGGACCTTGCGCAGAACAAGAAAATTGCTATCAGGGAAAACGGAACATACATATTCCTTAAGCATATTGGTAAGAAAGAAAAGCGAGAAAATTATCTTTCCTCTTTGACTCGATCCACTTCTCGAGTCTTATTTTGTTTTTTTACTGCCGGAAGGAAGGAAGCTTAGCCTTCTTTCTGTACCGGACACGTTAGCATAGAGCCGAGTCTAAACGCTTTTCCGTTTTCTTA